ATCTTTCCAGCTTCTCCAAAATAAAGTATTACGGCTTGGATAGTTTAGTTTAGATTCATTATGTTTTAATTGAAGAAATATGGCTCCTTTGTAGGAGCTCCAACGGGACGTCCTTCCTCCACTGCCTCTCTTGTAATTAACTTTAGCATATATGTTTATTTAATGATATTATTTGATGTTTTCTCTTAATGTTAAGCGCCTCAGAATACTCAAGTACTAGGTGCGCTATACAAATCATTAAAATTATTATTATTTATTAGCATACACAGTCTTGAGACTCACTGAGCTTGTTTCTGTTGGGAAAAAAAAGCTTGGAATGATACTGATTTTATAAAATTTAATCCTTCTTTCATTGTTTGTTTGTCTTTTTGTGTAAAGGCGTCATTGTGTGTATCTTCATTTCAAGTAATCAGTCACGTTAATCATTATTATATTGCTAAAAAAATTGCTGCAAGTGGGCATGAAAAGGCAATTGAGCAATTGCTTGTGATGCATTCCTTTAARGTGCACCTAATTCCCGACACAATACTTTCAGTATTGATTCTACATAAAGTGAATAGTTGAATGGTGAAATACTTCTTCATTTGAATGTTGCGTCTTTAAGTTATGAAGATTCATACTTCCATTAGGTTGCTGACTGTGACGTTACCCCAGGCTTTTAAGTGTATTTGTTTTAATTTTAATACCAAATACTAGCCATTATGAGACTTCAGATTTACGATAAACATTGTAGAAACCTTGAGTTTGATAATGATTCTTTTCAAAAACTGTTTTTATGAACCAGTCAAAATTTTTATATTTAATGAAGCCTGGGGTGACTTCACAGTCACTAACATATTGGAAGTATAAACCTTCATAACTTAAAGACTGAAATTGATTGGTTGCAAGCATTCCCAAGAGAGTCAAAAGACAAAAACATGGCGATCATTGTGGTGCCGTTAACAATGGATGCTAATGAGAAAGCTTTTGTTAAATGGCACCAACATGGCCGCGATGACGTAACGTGCAATCAAAGAATAGGAAAAGCTTATAAAGCTAAATAAGCAGCTTGATCATGCAGTCAAGAGTAAGCTGGTATATATACCTCATACTAAATTAATTCAGAGACAACATCTCTGTATTTGGAACATCCAAATAAAGTTCTGTTCAACAAGGATACGATTTAAAGTCGCCACTGTCCACTACTTAATTGATAGTTTTCACGTCGGCCATGTTGGAGGAATTTAACAAAAAAATTGTCAATGAATTCKTTTGTCATATCCTCCAACATGGCCGTCGTGTCTTTTGCTATTTAATTCTCTTGGGAATGGTTGAAAACCATCAATTTCTAAACTTTTACAACAAAAAAGCATCAAAAAGGCTCGTAAAATAACACTACTTTCCCCATAAAATATCCCTAAATCGTTTGTGAGAGGCAAATACTTCCAATAATAAATGAGTTTAACTTTGACATGATTAGATTGGGGCAAAGAAAACTTAGCTTGCTTGCTTCAACAGGGCCACATTGATCATACAGGATAATAACTTCATCCTTCTTTGATACAACTGTGCAGATACTTTTTTAAATATTTCAACAGCAAAAAAAGCAAATGGAAACAATATTTATTCTGTTTAGTTAATTTTTATCGGGGCATTTTGCACTTACCAGTATGCATGTCCCCATATTCACAAAGGTGGAGGGTATGTCCATCCCTACACCCCCTAGGCACCCCCGCCCCTTACATTCATGTTTGTTATAATATTTATACCATTTCAGCAGACTGTGATTGTTTATAATTGATATGGGTACACTATTTCAATAGAAGTGTTATTCATTCATTCAAATATTGTTCGTTTATATTATTGGTTTTAGCTGCTGGTACTGCTTTCTTAGATGCTGCTAAAATCCAGCTGCTGAATCTGCAAAACAAACATGAAGCAGCCCAACATTATGTTGATGCCGCTACATGTTTTAGGAAGTCTGATGCTGAAGGTATATATAAATTAGATTTATGTATCTTTTATCTACTTTATCTAAAACAATATTGAGATGATGAACCGGTACAAATGCTCAAAGCACAAAAAAACTACAGATTTTCCAGTTTTTCTACAGCAGAAATACAGACTAGAAAAAGAATTCGGAAAATATGAGAGAAGTTGCTAAACATGCTCCTCAATATTTCTCGATTGTTATATAACAAAGCACTTAATGTCTGGTCCGTCTGGAAATTGGTTACTTCTAGATATTATAAGTACTTTATATTATATTATATTATGTTGTTKTTTTTTTTCAGAATATATATTTTGATTTTCACTGACGAAGGACTAACATCCAACATATATTAGCATTTTTTAGTTCATAGTTATTATCAAATATCCTACTAGGTGTAAATGTCGATGTATTAGTTTAGGAGGACTGGAACTACAGTTCTAGCTGCTATTACTTTTTAAATATTTTTTTGTTATTCTTTTTTCAGAGGCTGTTCGATGCTATGAAAGTGCTACCGACATCTTTACAGATATGGTAAGGTTGTGAGTGCATAGAAATTTTGTCCAGAAATAACATTAATGTGACTGCCTACTTTTGGAAAAAATGGTTCTTCAATAAAATCTTGTAGATTTTTCAGCGGTTTTTGAGTTCGCGCACATCGTGGGCTCAAATCGAACGTTCAAAAGTAGGCAGTCACCTTAAGTAATAAAGCACGTAGTAAGAAATTTAAAAAATAATGGGGCTTGTTTTATGAGAATAGCACTTAATATAGCCAATATAATATAGTGGACCTCATTCCATGCCATCGAATTAGAATTTAGAAGTTCATTTTTATTAATGGAGGGAGGAATACCCTTAGCTAAAACCTTGAGAATAACTCTCAAGGCACAGCTAGGAGAGAACCAACTAGAAATTCTACTCGCATATGAAACCGAGTCCTGGATTTGAACCTGGGTCGCATTAGTGAGAAGAGAGTTCTCACACCGCTATGCCACCCGTGCTTACCATATATCAGACATTATTAACAGTAATGATAAAAAGGTAAATTATACACCGTGAAAAGATGAAAAAACTTACTAACGTTTCGGACGCTAGTCCTTCGTCGGAGTAAAAGAGAAAGAGGTGGTAGAAAGGAATTTTTATATGATAGAATAAGACAAAAGAAACCAATGAGAACAGGGTAGGCAAGGAAACAAAAACAACCAATCAAAAGACAAAAGAAAGGGTTAGTTGAAAGCAAAGCGTTCATTAATCCCGTTGGGACTAAGAGTGCCCAATAGGTGAATAAGCCGCATTTCTTTGGTCTTCCGACAATCATTGTTGCCGTTAATCAAAGAAAGACCGAAAACAATGAAGTCACGAAGAGAATGGTTAACTAGATTGAAATGGCGGGAAACTGGTTTGGTGGGATCGTTATTGCGAATATCATAAAGATGATTGCAAATGCAATCACCAAGACGGCGGCCAGTCTCGCCCACATACAAAAGATTACAGCGGGTACATTTGATACAATATACAACTTTACTTATTACTTTGACTGAAAAATATGATCATATTACTCCATCCTTTATTGAATTACATTGGTTGCCTGTTACGCAACGTATTATATTTAAGGTGGCACGACTGGGTTTTGTTTGTGGCGCACCTTCGAAGTTTGAACGGGAAATGCGTCGCTGCCAATAAGTTAATTTCAAATAAATTATTATGACATGTCTAGAGATAGATTCAAGTTTTAATGACATACAATTTATCATGATCGGAGTTACCATACCAATACAGTGTCGTCATGTCATTTTTTTATACATTTTTATACAGTTTAACAGAACTTAAAGTTCATATGTTTGTCTTCAAGTTAACGAAGTTTCGAAGATTTGTATGGAAGCATTTCGAAATAATTGCTGTCGGAACTTAGTCAATCTATTCATGATTTTAAAAAGCAACTCAAGACCTATCTTTTTAGGTTAGCTTATTTTAAGCATAGATCTTTTTAGAATTTAGTTTTTTGATTAAATAGTTGTCTATTAGTTTTTTGATCGTATAACCTATCAACAGCGCTTTGAGCACAAGGAAAGGCGCTTTATGAATACTAAAGTTATTATTTATGTACAAGTAATAGATAAAATATGAGCGGGAGACCTTTATGGGCATTTAAAACGGCGAGCCGCAGGCGAGCCGTTTTAAAGCCCATAAAGGTCGGACGGGAATATTTTATCTTACTTGTGAAATTCATTAATAATGCATGAGTTTTGAAATGTTATTAACAAATGAGGACTTAGTTGATTGTATGACGAAATTGAATAGCATATTATTCATTGATAATAACAAAATTCTTTCATGGCTTAGTTGCCGGAATGAGTTCTCCCAAAGGAGTTTCGAAATATTGAACACTGAATTTAGCAGTTCATTTTCATAGAGAGGTTGTAGTAGAAACATGGCTGATCGGTTTCGCTCTGCAAAGAGTAAAGAAGAAGAGTCCAGTTTAGTGTCGGAAGCTACTCCAAAAGCTACTCAATACAACACTAAATGGGGCATAAAAGTTTTCGAGGAATGGCAGGAACAACGGCCAAATAAATTAGCAATGTTAGAACACGTTGGAGTGGCCGGTCTCAAAGGTGATGACGTTCAAGATCTGACCGTTAATCTGGAGCACATGTTGCCAAATACCTYAAACTTTTGRTTGTGTAAGTTCGTTGGCGAAGTGGCCAAGAAAAATGGAGAGCGTTATCCACCTAAAACGCTTTATTTGGTAATTTGTGCGATTAACCGACATTTAAGTGAGACGAGAGGAGAGAATGCATTGAACGTTCTCAATAAAGCTGACAAGAGGCAAGTAAATTTATTGGGTGTTTTAAATGAATTG